AACAAGGAGCAAGGACAGGAAAAACCATGTAAGAAAAAAACCAACAGTGGTTTATAACTACTGCTGTTTGTTTACCAGGAGCACTTTTAATGGACTTCTGTCTAAACAACACATCTGTATTACATTTTCCTAATTATCTCTATACTTTACTACTTGCTTATTTTCACGAGAAGAGAAACAGGGAGATGAGGCACAGCTGAGCAGGGAAAGACAAGAAGAGGAGACCAGAGAAAGCAGCAGACCAGCCACCAAGCAAAGGATATCAAATCTGCCTTTTAATATATAGGGCATAAGACCACTAGCTGGTCCTAAACAGTTAGAACTGTTCTAGTTCCCATTTACTCAGGTTGGCCCACAAAAGAGAGCCTTTCCTGAAAAGTGGTTCGAAAGCTTTAAATGGTCAGTATTAGGCAAAATTTTCAGATATTATGCATTACTTAATGAGGGAGTTAGTAATTGAAAAAGGATGCAGAGCAAGTTACAAAAATTTAGAAAACGTACGTAGAAAATACAGAAATTTATCATGCCTTGCCAGATAACCCTGGTCCTAGAATCGCCCCTGCTGCTAACCTTAGTGTTATTCAGTTCCCTGGTCGGGGCCTTTTAAATAAAGATGTGATTACCGAGGACAGACTTTCAGCTGATGTCCATGTTACTGGGCCTTGAGGGGCGTGCACTTTTCATTATAAGACCTATCACAGCAGATGAGCCCAAGCAAATAATCTCAAATCACTCCTGACAAAATAATCTTCCTCTTTGATGTATATTAATATTTTACTTACATGTCAATCCAGAATATTTTAAGTGAAGTCTTGCATTGAAAAACAAAATCTTGGTATTCATTCAACCTTGATGTCAGCTGCTCTACTAATCTCCTGTTTCATGTTAACAACACAAGGAGCCTGAGGTTGTGTATTGTTAGGCTGTTAAGCTTTTTTTTTCCCGATGTAGTGATAATGTCATTAGTCATTGATAGCCTCTGAAACTGATTGCTGGATGCAGACAATAGGAATGCTTAGAGACTACAGCATTTGCGGTGTCTTTTTCTGCACCATTTGTTTTCATGAATCAGTGTGAAATAACTCTATTACATGTTATCTTTACTTTTTTGGTTATTGCTGGTAAAGCTAGCATAGAAGAATTTGATAATGGCACTAAGGAGAAACTTAAACTTTGCATTTAAGATGAATTTATGTTTAGAGAAAAATGTATGAACTGACAATTACATTTGATTACCATAGTGGTACATCTGAAAACTTAAGAGAAGCTCCAAGTACAACTTATTTCCATTTTTTTAAAGTGCAGCAGTGATCAAAAGTAAACACTGAGAAAAAAAACATAGTGCAGAAAAATGCATTGATATGGTCAGTTTGATGCAGAGACTGTGACGTAATTTACAGGTTTTTCAACATTCAGCTTTTTTTCCAGTTTTTCAGTATTTTTGTTGATACAATAGTGACTGGTTGATCATAATCCTGCAGGTTTTCTGTGTAATAGATTATATTTTACTGAGAAGCTTTTTTTAAAAACACACTATTTGAGTTAAACAACTTGGTAAATTAGTTTTAGGACAGTAATCTAATTAGTCTGAGTATTTCAACTGTTTTGTAGCATATGAGAGAGTCCAAAAGCTAATTTGAAGTAAGCTGAAATGTCTGCTGAGAAATAATCTTAATTTGATGCATATTCTTTTAAAATAACAGATATAATATATATATATTTACATTTCTTCCAGATGGACATCTGTAAAAAAAATCCTCGCTGTATCTTTTTAAAAAATAGAAACTAAAAGAGTGACAATGAGCAACTGTGACATCATACTTTTGGTAGCAGCTGTGTGCAAAAATAAAAAAGGTAACCTTTCTGTCTAGCCTTCAGTCAGCAGAGATTGGAGGTTTTGACTTAAGTTTGGTATGCAGTAATTTTATGAAAGCATTTAAAGAGCATTGGTGTATTTTTTTAAGTACCCGATTGGCTATTTGATAAAAAAAAATATTTCCAGATAATTATTTTTAAATCATTTTGAAAACTTCCTGCCATTTTCCTCCCACTTTATTTTACGTTTTGATTCAGTCTAAGGGTGATTCAGCAACTACAAAAATGGGCTTAAAAACCTAATGGACAGCAGCCTAAAAATAATCAGTAATCCAGTATATTTCCACTTGATACGGTGGCCATTTAATATCATCTTTAAGGCTCCACCTAGAGGAAAAAGGTGAGCCACTGATTTTACTAACTTACAGCAGAAATAAAACCTGCTAATTAGATATTTTCTAATGTAATCCAATCTTTTGAGCTGGCTCATAATAACCCCATTATATCTCTAATTTCAATAACCTTACACCACATTAGATAAGACGTAAATACGGCACATAAAAAGGGGATCTGGTGTTCTGGAGCTTCCTCTTTGCCACACACTTTTATCATTTCTCACTTTCCTCACAGCCTAACATCTCTCCTACATACACATCCTGTGTTTGCTCATGGACACTTTTCATCAATGCACACAACATCTTTTCTTGCATCTCATCGATCCCCCTTATTGAAAGAAGCCTCATTTGCAGTCTCCTTCTTGACATTTTTTTTCCCTCTCCTGTCTCTTTCTTTTCCAAACTCTTGACAGGCTGTACAGAATTTGGCAGTTTGCTGTTCTCCCTTAATCCTTTGCCAGACTTTCCTCCTTCACAAATATACAAGGATTTTAGAGAAAGTGCAGTCAGACATCAGATGGGCAGAAACCCATTCCAGCTTCTTATATACAGTTAGTAAATCATGAAATTAAAATGAGCTTCTTTAGTCAAATGAGAGTCATGATGCTGCATTTGTTTTGTTTTTTTAGTACCGGTATTTAACTTTAAAATTCCTGACCATACATACAGATTAAGTTACCCCCACTAAACCCAAAATATCAATGTTATTTCATGCATATCTTTGTAATGTATTATTTAACTTAAGAAAATATATCCTAACAACACATTCAGCCCCTATAAAGGGAGCTTGGAAAGGTTAATGTGCTTGAAGGACACATATTTAGCTTTTCTTAGTGTTTTTATGAATGCTATACTTCAGATCTGTGTAGAGGGGTTTGGTTGTGAGCAGCATCTAAGAAGAGTGGACAGACAGGTTTCCACATAACTGTGTTCAACCCCCACCCCACACGGGCAGGGAATACTGCAGAGTCAAGTTGCCATGTTTTCACTTTCTTTCACAGTAAGTAATTGAAATAAAAGCACAGATGTTCCCAGTAATTTATATTATTTAGATGAAGGTTTTTGTCTAATGTTGGGCTTAAAAAAGGGTCAGGATTATAATTAAGAGGTGCAAGGAGTCGTTTTATTCTACACACTTTTGAAATAAATAACTGATTTACGCCAACTGGATTTATATTTGGTTTGAAGTTAGACAGACTAGCCATATATTCATATTTCCATTATCTATAAGTGCTCTCCATTACAAAGCTGTCAGACTCATTTTCATTTTTAATGATGAAAGCCTTAGAAAATAGAATAAAAGCAGCTATTTAGGGAATTTGAACATTAGGAAACACTGTTTCTGTGAGCAAACCAACTGGAAAGAATGATGCAGACATTAAATGAAATAAAAGAAGAAAAGCTGTTCATTAGGAAAATGAATTAAGTTGTTTTAACCCTTTAAATTTAATCTAGAACCAGTTCTTGTTCAGGAAACACCGGAAAAGCACTTCTATGGGTTTATGGTTATTCGGCAAAAACAAACAAGAAAAACGAAAGAAGTCGCATGTTAAAAAAAGAACAGGGCCGACTGAGATCAACCATTTTTAAGGCACCAACTATATATCCTGCTGTGACCTTTAAAAAAATGCTCCATCATTTGCCACAACTGCAAAGAATAATCACAAGGAGACAATCTCACGATAGGTTCACTTGAACAACTCAGTCCTATCATGCCTCCATGTGTTGCCCCTCCATCATTCCTGCCAACACCAAGTCCAAGATGTAAACAGGATCTAAGGTACGCTATTTATTTCACCAATAACAGCGAGGCGCCTAGCGGGAGAAAACAAGAAAAGCCCTTAGAATCCAACTAAGTTCTGCACCAGACACAAAATGAACTTCTGTTTCATGCTTGAAAGTTAGGAGCAAGAGAATATTTCATGTATGGAAAATATGAATGGAAATAAATCGAATAAAAATACTGCAGTTAGAAATAAAACTACATAGAGTAGGTGCTAGTTTTACTTCTCAAGATGATCATTATTACTGTTTGCATCAGCCACTATCTAGGTTAGCATCCATCGCAGCCTGTTCCTAGCACATGCAAGCATAAAAATAAGCCAAAACTGTTTTTTTCCCCCCTCATTTCATCATATCTTATTCAAATGCAATTGTATTTTTCAGGGACAAAAATCCTTCCCTCTAGATAAAAATCATTCAGAGCCCTTGCTAGATCTGTCAAATATGTCTTGACCAAAAAGCTGTGTTTTAAATTCAACAAAACCCCCTGAAACTGGTGTATGTATGTGGATTCAGTTGCAAACAGAGCAAACCATCCAGTGTCATTATTTACTGCCCCCTGTGACAGCTTCTAACCAGGATTTTGAATTCTTCACAGCAATGTTCATGCTTTTTTATTATTTCTGTTAAATAAAAGAAAGAAATGAAAATGCATCTTTACTTACAGAAATATATCCAGGTTGCAAAACAGTTACATTTTTACTGTCTAATGCAAAAATGACAACATTATACAGAACCAAAACAAATCAGAATACCAATGACTTTATTAATCCCTTGCAGGAAATTCTTTTCTTGTAGTGCAACCGTTTACAGAAAAGAAAAATAAGATTGTAAGTACAATAGAGCAAGATAAAATATTGTATAATAAGACAGAGTAAAATAAGAAAAATTAATAAGATTACAATCCACAAAATAAAACTACAGCATTCCCATATAAATACTGTAAAATACAATATAAGAATAAAATAAGATAAGGATCACACTATATAAAGTGTCCACAGTATTTACAATTTACAATGCTGATCAGTACCTAAATTACAATTATTGTACATGACCATGTTATTGACACAGCGTTAAAGCAACAGATGAAATGCAAACTCATACATTCAAGTTTAATTACTGACATAAACATGAATTTAAGATTTACTTTTCCTGCAAGAATTGTGAAATTTGAAAGAGTGAATAACTGGTACACATCAGGTATGGGTAAACAGGTAGATATTATTTAAACAAATCTTTGATTTCCTGGTAGAGGGAACCCAGGCAAAATCTGCAAGTCAACACACACATTGCAAAAACACAGCCTTTCTGCTAAGTCAACTGTAATATCCTCTATAGGAATAACAGGGTTTTTTAGTCACTTTTCCCCCTTAAACTTCACAGCTGAGACACCATGGATTCATTATAACCTTGTCTCTGCTCTTATCCTGAAAGTACATATCTAAAGCCTCAGGAAACACACAGGCAGAAGGAAAGAGACTTAAAGAGTGTGTGTGTGTGTGTGTGTGGCTGTGAGTTGGTGAGGCTGAATGAGAGAAAAGAGTGGGTCCTGCAACTCAAGCCCTCCAGAAATCAATTGTACAAACTTCTCCATGAGTGCTCTCCTTTGCCCCTTGTACGTTCTGAACCAGTCAAATCAATTTCCAGGCATGTGTGTCTTCGTGCACCTCCGTGTTATTCTGACAGAGGAGAGCTGGAGAGAGAATAGATGGAGCGAGGGGGAAAAAAACCGGAAAGAAGTAAATCATAAGAAATTCATCAAATCAGATATCCTTAAATGTTACCAAACAGAAAAGTCTCTACATAGCACTTTAAGCCATCTCAGTGGTAAGTTTCACACTTTATATTCCTCTTTAAAAAGTAAATCATGCTGTAAATGAGGATTAATTTTCTATCTTTATGTTATATGCATGACATAAAGTAGAAAAGAGTTGCATAAGAAACGTGTTGATTGGTTTTGTGATGCGTCACATCTGACTTCTGCATCTCACAGCTGTATTCTTACTGTGGGAACAATGAATCATTTGTTTCATTCACTGAACTGTTATCCAAAAATATTTAGTGATTTATGACTAAAGGGTGAGTAATGATGCTGGGAATTTATCTCTCTGCAGGCTCCCACTTTAAACATGGTAGAAAATGTGACTACAAGGGAAAGTTGTGGATCAAGTTTATCGATGTGTCGGGAATTACAGCCAGTTAATTCTTTTTCTATTTAGAATTATGTCTCGTGTGCTTTTATTTCCAGGCTCTCTGCTTAGAAACCATGAGGGAAGAATATATTACATATCCAAACTTTGATTTCTTTAACTTTTTTTTTTTTATTCCACACAAGACAGTAGGGAGGGCAGAGTGTTTCCTTTATTAAGGCCTCCCACAACTGGGACTTAGAGGGAGATTTTGGCGTCACGCCTCCCTACCACGGTTTCTGTAAATCGGCTTTCTGTAGCCATGACAGTCATTAGCCTTGCTCCTGGCAGTAATCCGCTAGTTTCTGCCTCTAATGGAAGAAGGAGGTAAAATTTAGTTGTTACAACATCAGCAGGGTCTCACTGAGAACCTGTCCAAAGCCAAGCGTAGACATCTACATTCTTTAAATGCAAAGGAGATCATCCTCAATCACATTTGACTAAGGTCATGAATAAAAGGTGTGGAATTACAGTGATGAGGAAGAGGGTCTTTAAAACAAAACAGTTCCTCTAGATTGGTGGCCTCTGTAAGTGACAACTTAATTTTTTTGTTAGTTGTGTAAGAAAGCAATCAGACATAAACACAACCAAAGTAAAATATTAATGTGTGTGTGACTACACAAGTGTGATTTATTCAGCAAAAGCAGTAAATTACAGCTTTCACTCAGTATCAGTCTCGTGCAATAACCATAAACATGTGCTTTTAACAAGTTCTATTTTTAAAACAGATAAGCTTTTTTAATGGACTGCAAACCACACTTGAGAACAACCCTCAGATTACTACAAGCATAAAATAAATGGCATATCAACCAGTTATGAACAGATGTATAATCTGATGTAGGTCAGCCTTCAGAGAGGTGGTACTTCTACTGAAAGGTTCTTCTCAAAATATTAGCATATTGTGATACATTAATTATTTTCCATAAAGTAATGATTAAACTTGAAAATTCATATATTTTAGATCTATTACACACTAACTGAAATATTTCAGTTCTTTTATTGTCTTAATACGGATTATTTTGGCATGCAGCTCATGAAAACCCAGGTTAGGGTTAGGGTCCCTCCAAAAACTCCCAATAAAATCCCCTCCAACTTCCAGCCTCTGGAGTGACCCCTTGTTGCATATTTTTTTACTCTGACTCCACCTTTTCACTGAATTACACGGTCTGACCAGGGGATGATGCTTCTCTCACAGAAGAGAAGAAACAGAAAAAATATGTTAATACAAATGTTGATGTTTAAAAAGGAATTGTTTGGGACCAGCCAAGGACCCATCAGCCATCTGACCAATGTAGAAGTATATTTTCTGTAAAGTTACTGCTAGTTTCTATCTTGCTCAGAGCTGGTTAATAAAGTAAGTTCTTCAAACAATGAAACTTTTCAGAAAAAAAACTTCTGCTGGGGATTTAGAGACGAAGATCTACATAACTTAATAAATTCAAATGAGTAGTTGGACATTGCCTGAATTAGCATTAATGATGTGATTTATTTATTTTTTTTTCAAATGAAGGATGAGTTCCTTGCAGAATTAAATGGTTCCTTTATTATTCTAAAACTAAGTTCCATATTTTTGCAGTCTAATGTGTTTCACAAAGGTGGAAATTACAGTATAGTGTGCTTAATAAAACTATTATTAGCATGGCCATTATTAACATTTAAGTAGGCCCGTCCCAATCTCTTGGATCTGCTGGTTGGCGTTAGATAATTGTCCTGATGAGCAATCTAACTTCACAAATGCTTATTGTCACAAACTGAAACCTGGATATCTCCCTGCAGGATTTTCTAGAAAGGACCAAGTTCATGATTTCCTTGTATTTTAGCTGGGTCTTTGCTCTAAACCAGCAAAACAGTCCCAAACCATCACACTACCTCTACCTTCTTTGACCTTAAACTTGATCTTTTTCATAAAATATTTTTCGGGCTCATCACTGATCCAGTGATCCAATGAGATGCATTGTTCTGTGTCATCAGCCCACTAAAACTTATCATGCCAGGTCATGGGGATCATCAAAATAGGTTTTGGAACATGTGAGACAGACTTTGTGTTCTTTTTCCTGGAGTCATTTATGTCTTGGACCTGTAGAATGGATATTTATTTTTTCCTATAAAATATTTTAAACCATAAACAGTTACTTTAACTGAAAACATCAGTGATTGAAGTTTTGTTCTGGTTTCTTTAGTAACCTGATATTTCATCACTTTTCTCTGGGAGCGACGTTGTTTGACCAATACTTGGGTTATTCACAATGGTTTCACGTGTAATCTAATTGTTAATGATAAGAATCACAATTGTTCCAATAAGATCCAAAATCTTAAAAATAGCATTTTTATTATTTCTATAAAGATGGATGTTAATAAACTCTTATCTCATTTATTGATGAAATTTCTTTATATAACGGGAAGACTGTTTTGTTCTGTATGATCTATTAGCCTTTCTTAAGTTAACAGATATTTCTTGATTTCAAAGATATTGTAGTTATTTTGTAATTGGGTGTGGTTGATAAAATTAAACTAGTAAAATACACCTAGTTTGTGTACTTTTTCTTATACAACTAGATTGGTCTGGGTAGATTTTTCAACCTAAAGCTGAAGTCTGTAAGTTTTTAAAAATCAATTTTTTGTCATATTGGCTAAAACTGTCCATATGCCCAGACAGCAGTACATGTGATATGTAACCTGTGAAAAAAACTGCTTCAATTGGTCCTACATACTGCCTGTATTTCAATCTGGAAAGAACAATTCGGGACGAGTCAAAACAACCAATCACAGCCAGAGGAGCGTCTGATGGAGTGTCAATCACAGCTCCCCCCCCCCTCACCGCTTAACCTGCCGCAGCGCCCCGGCTGCCGCAGTCAGGAGGACGCGCGTGGAAGTCATGGTGGAGCGACAGCCACCAGCGAAAGAGAAACTGCCCTTACTGCCCCTGCCGACAACTGCTTACACGGCAAACTTCGGTATAACCAGCATCTTATATCTAGCTGCTTGGAGGTGAGTGTTATCGCTCTTACCGGTTCACACTCCATGCCGCGTACGCTGCTTGGACGCTTGTGGTCGCATGCGGTAGCCGCGCAGGTGCTGTGACAGGGGTGGAGCTTGGAAGTGGGGCATGAGTGAAGCAGAGAGGGTGGGGGAGTGACGTGAAACCTGTTTTTCTTCAAATTTTCAGTCGAAGTCTGCTCTCTTCTCAATGTTACAGACTGCAGCTTTAATAAGACTTACGATACCTGATGACTTACAATAGCTCAAGAACGGGGAGCAGCTGAAATCACAAACAATTTTTGCAAATATGAAATTTTCCTCAAGACCATAAATGATCAGGAATGACTTAAAAAGCAAAAGCAGAAGAAATCAATATGGAGCAAATACTTCATAACAAAATTGCACTTATGGGAGAGTACAGGTTAAGATTAATTTGATAAAAAGGTAAAGTTACTAAAGTTGTGTTTTATCAATGGTTGACCTTCCGCTCTGTAAAACATTATAGCTGCAGGAACATTATAAAGACTCTCACAGCCAGACCCTACATTTCTAAAACATCATTAAAAGATTACCTATATTTAGACTAATATATAATTTAGCACCAATGATTTGTTTTAGTTGTTGCTCATGACAGACTTTATACAGTTTTGATGAAAGTCCGCAAGTTATCAGTGAAACCCACAGTGCTATTACTGACAAGTGCAAATTACATCCTGAGGGTCCTAGGGTGGTTCAAAACTGTCATCAGCTATGTGATCTGACGATTAGGTCTCTCACTTGGAGTAGGGAAAGTAGTATGAAAAGTAACCAGCTGTGAGAGAGGGGTTAGTTTAAAGGTGAGAACAGCTTCTTTTCTTACACTGACCATGGAGATTGGTGTATTACATGTGAAAGTTATTGTCCACACATTTTCATATGACTCTCTGCTGCTTTTTTAAACTACCCACCTCCAAAAACAAACAGAAAATAAGAAAATGTATTTAAATAATTGTTAGATCTCTCTTCAAACACATATATGTTCACTGATAATTATCTTCTTGATTTTTTCTAGAGAGATAATGGAAAGGTAGACTTTATTTTGGGGAATTTTTGTATTAAATCTTTAGTCTTTCTCTCCTTGATTCTTTCCTGAGAACAGATCAGACACACACACACACACAAAGAAAAACACTTTAAATAACACTCTATATGGTTTATTTATTAAATTACTGAGAGACATGACAGATTCTGACAGAAATTGTAATCAGACCAGAGAAATGGCTTGGGTTACAGATGGCAGCGCTTACCACCGGCCTCGCTTCTTCAGAAAGTTGGCCCAGAATAACAGTTAAAGAAGCATTTTTTACACACAGCCTGCAGCATCATAACATCATTACATTATATACGTTTGTTTATGAGGAGACTTCACTGGCTGCAGCCATATTAAAATATTACACATTATTCTAAGACCAAGAACAACAAAATGCACACTGACATCACTACCTGTTAAGAATAATCCACTCAGTCTGTATGCTCCCATTTCATT